CCTGCCTGTGGGTCAGCTGCGGGGCCCTTGTCCGCTCTGCGGGGGTCAAGAACGTGGCTGTTAAAACCAGCCCCTTTCTGTGTGGTGAATCCAATAGGGCCAAGAGGGGCATCACCCGTGTGTGCTTCCATTTCACGGTCTCCTTTGAGCTCAGCTGCTTGTTTTTTCTGGGCCTTCATCTAATTTTATTAAATATTCAACCCTTTTTTCCTTCTAAACACCTCACCTTACATTTCAGTGATTCGTGTGCCCATTCATTTAAATAATAACTTGAAAAAAAGGGTGGTCAGTACCACATAGGGCTGAGCTGCTCATCCGTGAATGATCTGTGGAGTTAACGCTGAGATTTTAAACTCCCTCAGGAAATATTTATGGCTATTTGACATCTTCATTGTTTGTAGAGTTCACATACGGAGTTTCATCTGAGAAATCTGACTTGTTTCGTTTCCCTTTTTGAGTGCAAGTCCTGATATTGCAACTTTTCTGGCTGGGTGACTCTCAGCTGTGAAATTATTCTGCCACTGCCAATGCTTAAGCTAAAAATGGTTTCTGTAAGAAGCGTATGGTATTCCCCCAAGCAGCGATGTGTCCGTGATCCGCTCTTCTGGCAAAATCGTTTGCTACAGGATCTATAACATGAGTGCAAAAGGGAAGAAAGGTGGGCAAAGGGTAGCTGAGATTTTTTTTTTCGTGCATCAGTGAGATCTGTTTTTATAGTAGCTTAGGTTTAAATTCACTACGGTTTATTTAAATGAAGCGGTATGCAAAGTCATGATGGATATTTTAATGAGTCGCAAAGTTGTTTTTGAAATGGTGAGGAGAAATTAGAAACCTTTTTTTTGGAAATGAAATCTAAATTACTGTAAGCATGACGGACTGTCATCAGGCAGCCTATTTCAGTCAGGTCGGTGCCCCGGTTGTTCTCTACTTCCGGGGAACCCAAGATTGTAAAATGACATGAACCGCGTGTGAAAAATGCATCCTCTTGTCGACGTTCCAGAGCGTGACCGTATGGACGGGTGAGGCAGCGCCTGTCGGCTGCACAGCTAACAGCTTTTCTGCCTGCGATGGAAAGAATGGTACCATTCACTTATTTTTTTAATCCCCAGTTCACATTTTTCTGACGGCGCGCTGGAGCCGACCCAACGTTGCTTTCTGTACTTTCTCATCTGGAAAAATGCATTGCACATCCACATCCTGTTCCATACTCACGCTGGTGTTTTTTAACGCATGAGAAGGGTCAGGTATTCGCAGAGGAGTTCCCAGCAGAGGCCAGGTTGTTACCCCACGTCCCAGATAAAAATCTGTGCGGAGTCCTGTGGCGTGAACACTCATTGAGAGGACACTCCCTGGTTGCTCATTTAAAATGTAAGACACTGTAACGGAAGGACCAGAAACGTGGCACCTTTTCGCCAGAGCTGGACCAGAGTACGGGCAGTGCGGCAGGCTAGGGGACACGTCGTCCTTTAACGGACAGGCTTTCCAAAGTCCAGGTTGGTGAGGGGTGTGAACACCACACGTTTTCTTGTTGTGTCTTAAAGTCTTTCTCCCCTTGCAGTCCTGAGCCTGGGCTTCTGCATCCCTGTCCGACCCACCTCGTGTTGGGCTGTGGTTCAGCATACGTTTCTGAAGAGCATGTTGTGTTTGGGGTAAGTTAAGTGAATTTGTTGTCAACTGGTAGGACTGAAATGGGGAGAACTTGGGTTTGTTCTCTACCTCAGCTACCCTTGAGGAGTCTGTCATGGTGCTCTTACTTGATGGGAGGCAGGGAGGTGGCACTGCTTACCTCCCAGGGGTGCAGCGAGACTAAACGTCGTGTCCGTAATGCTCTTGAGGTCGGGTGTGTGAAGGTGTATCTCATGCTGGCACTGCCAGGGCTTCTCTCTAAAGATGAGATAGCAAACAGTGATTCTACCACCCATAAAATATTTGAGCTGCTTACAAATACACACTTCTAGGGGTGGAAGATTTGGGTCTCTGCCATTGATATTCATGTTCTTCAGTATCATAAGCCTTTACTTTCCACTGAATTCATCCCAAAAGCTTTCAAGTCACTGGGACCCGTAAGTTGCCACATGCTACTTGTTTCTTTTATTTATTTTTTTTAATGAATAGGACACATTTTATTTGAATCAATAAAGTAGGTATCTACTACAGTACAAGACATGTCCACAGCAGTTCCTGCAATACAGACAAATTAAATACAGTTCTTGTAAATCTCTCCTTCTCTTGTAGATACAGATTATAAATTAAATAAATAAGAAAACCATAAATACACATTTCAAGATACAGGTAGAAACATTAATCATCTCTGCTTCCATTCTCATATAGCTTAAAGCTATTAATTAACAAATGAAATACTACCATACAGATTTCTCAACAGACAAAACTCTTGTGGCCCTGGAATGCGTGTTGCGTGCTCTATGGGTCACATTAGCTACAAGGGCAGGTACCACCAATGCTCACTGTCTTAATTTACCCCAAAAGCAGCAGATGGACTTTTCCCAGTGTCTGTTCCTTTTGCTTTGCTTAGGGAATGAGACCAGAAATGGGAACTGCTGATTACTATTTTCCCTACTCCTTGAGTGTATGCATTGCTACAGTCCTACTGAATTTACTAGGTTTACCTTCTTGTAGGATTTCTATGGGCTGGGGAGAGGGATGTAGTGTGGTGGTGATATTTGCAAAAGATGTTTTTCGAAAATCTTGGCCATGGCTCCAGCTTGGTTCAGTCATGGAGGACCTAACGTTGGCAGGGTTGTGGTGTCCAGACTATTACACAGGGGCAATGTCTCAGGGTCTGTAATTTAAAGGTGGGGTGAACCGCTGTGAGAAAACTGCTCTGGTGCTGTTCAGCCTTCAACAGGCATCGGCGTTGCTCTCGCACGCCGTGGCCGGTGGCACATGGTCAATACTGGGACACCGTCGCCTCTTCTCCTTTCCTTGCCAGCAGCCAGGGCCTTTTATTGTGTGGTTGACGATGCTCTCCTCCTTTCCCAGAAGGAAGGAAGAAAAGCAGGAGAGTACATCATCGCTCTGTCAGGCTGCTGGGCCAGAGAGGGACTTTTGCCTTTGGCAAGGAGGAGGGGAAGAGTCTGTGTGATTTCTAATGGCGAGGCTGTCCTCCGTGAGCTGCTGAGCACCGCTGAGGGAGAAGCGTGTGACTGAGGCCGTGATGGACAGCTGAACAGAGATATTTTGATGGGTTAGTGCCTCTCCTCTCCTTGGCAGACTCTGGACTAAGTTGGCTCTGGCCTTATGAAAAGCCATAGTACCTTTTTAAATGAGAACTTCCTTCCCTGTCCTATTGCCTTCTCCAGCATGTCCAGCCCCTCACAGGCGTCCCTTGCTGCCCTCCTTGGAGTCACCTGGGACGTTTGCTCGGTAAAGCCACCAAGCCGCTCCCCTTTCTTTCCCATCCCTCCCATCCAGGTGGTACCCTGGTACTTCTGAGCTCTGCAGGCTGTAATCCAAGGCTCCCTCAGTCCTGTGCTGCAAGAGAAATTCAGAATATGCTTTCTTCGAAGTCCAGGTCGAAGCTGAACTCAACACCAGGTGAAGTCAGCAGGTACCCCAAGTGCAGAAGTTGCCCAGGTGGTTGTGGTGGGAGGGTGATGGAACTGTGACCGCCGTTAGCGCTGCTGATGTGTGGTTCAGACCTTTGGTGGGTTCGCGGCTCTGGATCCCCCTCATCTCGGTACCGTGGCACTGTGTATGACGGTGTCTCGCTGTGTTTTACTAGGCTGGCTGCAGGCAAGCAAGTTTCGGATGGGAGCTTCTTTCCTCTGCCTCTGTCACAGAGCGAGGCCTTCACTTTTCATTTATGCTTTGGAGCACTGGCAGATTAGAGATCGTCATTACTATGAGCAACAGGAGTTACACTTCTGCCAATTTGATATTTAAAGTTCTGTATTTAGGCAAACCAAAGTCTTTTGTGATAACCAGGGGAGCACTCCCATGAGGCAAGTACCGTTCATGACTAATATAATATTGCCTGTGACACTGGTGAAACCCTTGTTGTAAAACTGCTTTGGTTTTTTTTTGGAGAGGAAAACCTAAGGGGCCATGGCCACCAATTTCTAAATTGAAAAGAATTTTGAGAAACATTTTTGAGCAAATTCCATTAAATCCACCTGTTCATAAGCACAGGTCTCCCCTATGCAAATATGTCGTGTTTAGGCACCTAAATGCACCGTTTACCTGGTTTTCCTTTTGTGCACTTAGCGAACTATCCTGTTCCACACAGGTAGAGAGGAAGTTGCTGACTGTCAGTTAACATACAAGCACGTTGTATGGAAGAAAATCTCTCAGAGGTTATCTGGTTGCTCATAGTTTGATCTGGGAGGACACTTTGAAACACCAACCACTTGCCACAGAGCAAAGTTTGGTACATGTGTGTTTGCAAACTCGCCCGGTTCTGACTCACCCATTCTTTTAAAATGTTTGCATCTTTTACTCCTGTCCTGAAACACCAAAACTGAAGGGAAAAATAAAAAGGAGGTTTAGCATGTGTCATTCAACCAAGCATATCGTACGATGTGGTTTTATCTCGTGATACGAGAGTGGGAAGAGGACAAGCAGCAGTACACAATGAGCAGACCCCTGGGATTTAATGGCACTCTGTAACCGATCCGTTGCCTTGCAGGACTACGCGAACATCCTGGTAGGCTTTTCTTGTTGTGAGTCTGAGCTGGTTCAGACGGGACATGCAAAATGTCGAATGGGCCAGCGGTAGTTTCAGTGTCATTGAGTCAAGACATAATTCTAGTGGGATGCTTGGGATTTTAGGGTATCACAACAAAGAAAGGCCAGTGAGTTGCATCACATTCCCAATTTTTACCTTAGTTAGACTTTCCCCCACCATTCTGAGGCAACTGCATCAAGTAATAAAAGGATATTTTTCCTGGAATGAGCTGTGCTGTGTCTGTTCCCTCATCGATCCTAGAGCACCTTGTCCTGGCTAAAGGACCTTCTGTCCTTCCAAGTGACGCTGAGCTTTATCAGTCTGCCTCAAAGGCACTGTTTGTTGCCCCTAGGTACTCTGACTTCTTCTTGTGCTTCATCCACATCTTCCTCAGGAGGCTGGGTGTCCCGCACAGGTTGCCTCCTGTCAGCGGTAGGGAAGCTTCCGCTGCCGGTGGCAGGGTCAGGTCGTACTCTGCTGTCCTCCTCCAGCGCTGCCGGTGGCTAGCAAATAAAGCACAGATGCGTAAAGCGTTCATCTCTGTGGCCCCTCTTCCCCTGCTTACAGCCACGAGCCGTTGAAAACCAAGGGCTGCCTGTTTGCAAAGGTCTGGCTGTGCCTCGCCTGTCCCTGGGACTGGCAAGTCTGAGGTGAGCAGGGGCTGTGTGGGGACCTGCAACTGCCCCCTGCTCCCCCTGGAGCCCCTTGTTGACTTGCTATCAGGGTGAGTGCTTACATGAGGGGATGGGCTACAAGCGGGACTGCTACTAGGTGCATCCTCCATAGTGTTTGCCACCAAAGAAAAAGCTGGTAGGTGACCGGGAGGGTCGAGATGAGCCCCTCCACCAAAGGAGGGTGACCATGTGGCAGCACCCAAGCGGGGTGAGCTCTGCCTGGCCAAGGGGGCTACACTGAGCTTACACCGGCTGAGGGGGATTTATGTCTCTGTGTACAAAGTTTGAAGGCATTGTGACAGTGAGCTTGTCACTGTCCCTCAGGTGGCAATGGTGGCATCTCAAATATCACCCAGATCCATGTCTGGGTTGAGTGCCCATTGATGAGTGCATTTGTACCATGGTCAAGCTGTTCCTTAATTACACTTAATGACAATAAAGCTTTGTGTAAAAGAAATTTAATTACGTTTTCTAAACCTCCTTAGGGCAAATATTATAGACTTCTTAAAAGGAAAATAAATTTTGAATTTAGATACTTTCTTTCTAGTCACAACGCTGTAACTGGCACTGGGGCAGCTGCAGATAAGACAATCAGCATGTCCTTTAGCCAATCTCTCCCTGCCTTTGGGAAGCAAGCAGCATGGCTCTCCTGTAAATCACGGCTGTGATTCAGAGGAGACCTGCAGTTGAGCACTCCTTCATGTTTCTGCTGAGAGGGTGACCCGTGGCAGAGGTGCCTTGTCCCCTTCCCTGCCCAGCAGCCCCCTGCATGCAGCCCCCCGGGCTTGGCCACGCGGGTGGAAGGGACTTACTCCTCTGTAGAAGTGCCGTTGCCTGCGGGCGAGCCTGTGACAGCTGCTGCTTTGCCTGTGACATGAGCAACTGGCGATGGTGGGAACTGTCGGAAGAAAAAGCACGTCATTTTTTTGTAGGGAGCCCAGGTTTGTCTGAAGAAAGAGGCTGTTTCAGGAAAATTAATAAGTACCATAAATCTCTCAACAAGAGAAAGCAGGTTAAGGGCTTTACTGGCCAGCTCTTACCCACACAAATGCTGTTTGCTCAGGTGAATAGTCTCACTGAGCTCAGCACAGAGCTTGTATGAGCAAGAATTACACCTCCTGTTGAAGAAGGGAGGTCACCAGACCTTTTTATTCCGTTTTTTGTGTCTGGCTTCCCGAGGAGGCAAGGCTGAGTAGCCTGCCTCTTGCTGCTCTTCACAGGCCACCTCTAGGGCTGGCTGGGCAGTGGTTGCCCCAGCCATCGCCGTGTCTTGAGAATGCGGACACGCTTCCCCATTTTGCTGGGGGATGCTCTGTAGCGTGGGGGGGCCTTGGTTTGTGTCCCAGTTCTGCCGTGGCCCAAGTGCCTAATCACTGACTTCTTCCTTGTTTTATTTGATTCAAAATTGCCTGCTGGAACTGAGCCACATTCCCTGATAAACAGGACAGAGACTGGCATACCCTCCAGGATGGTAAGCTAAAGTGTGGGTTGCCCAGAAATAGAAAATTATGTGAAAAATTGTGATGCACTCTCATCATTTCAGGCAATAAACATGCTTACTGATTTTATTTGCAATACTAATAAATCCTTCATCTTATTGTCACTAGTATAACTGGTCTTGACCTGTTTAGGGCTGTTTCCCCAGGATAAATATGACACTGGATAATTTTAGGTGTGCTCTGCAAGTAAACCGAGACTTAAAGATGTAAAGTTCTTCCCAGAGAGGGTGGTGAGGCACTGGAACAGGTTGCCCAGAGAAGCTGTGGATGCCCCATCCCTGGAAGTGTTCAAGGCCAGGCTGGATGAGGCTTTGAGCAACCTGGTCTAGTGGAAGGTGTCCCTGCCCATGGCAGGGGGGTTGGAACTAGATGGTCTTTAAGGTCCCTTCCAACCCAAACCATCCTGTGATTCTATGAAATCACTTTTGCAAGCATCCTATGAAATTTAACCAGGTTAATTATTGGTAGGTTCAGTTAGTTTCATTACACTAAATAGCATTAATTTTGACTCCCCTTCAATATAGTACAGTCATTTTTCTCAAGGGTAGCCCAGCTATACAGCGGGTATATTGCAGCCATCCAAAAGAACATTTGAAGCCATAAAGTTTCTATAGCATAGTGAGGTGTTGGTCAGAAAATTTTCAAAGGACTGCTTTCTGTTTGAAAATCTAGTTTTTATAAAATGTAAGGACTTTTTGAAAATTGGGTTTTGGTAAGAAAAAGGAGCGAGGGAAAATGTTTTAGTAAAGCTGAGTCCTTCTCAACCAAAGCATTTTTCTCTCTCCATTACAGAACAAATTTTCAGGTTTTGTATGAGGATTTTTCCATCAGCTCTTTACTGACATTTTTGCTTGATCTGATTTACCTTGTCAGGACGGCATCCTGAAGAATACGAATTATCTGATGCTCGTTCCATTTTAGAAAGGCTTTTGTCTCCCCCCAGTTTGTGAAATTCCCTGAGAAAGAAGAAGCTAAAGGCTAATTCCTCCCAGCTCTTGCATGGGATTCTCCGTGCAGGTGGCTGAGCATCCAGAACGGGAGTCTGCCTGTTTCCATCCCACAACGCTTCCTTGGTTTCCTGAGGGGCAGCCGTCATACGCCAGTCTCTGCTGCCAGCTAAGGATCCTCTGGCATAAATCATGTCTCAAAGCCTTAATGAAGATGGTGAAATCCGCACGTGCTGCACAGACATGCTGTTAATGTGGGACACGTTGACAGATACTCGGCTTTAATATGCGTCAGACAGCGGTAGTCGGCCTTGCTGTATTCACTTACCAAAGATTTTCCATCCAACGGGTGATTACAGGATTTGGATGATTCTCGTTCATCTATTCCCACTGCAGAGTGTAAGAAACATGGCATTGTTAGTAATTACCCCATTGGCACAGCTTGTATTAAAAGCCTCCTTCCACGCAGCTAAACCCAGATATGAACAGAGCCCACATTCAGGTTACTGTCCCACTAGATTCGATTACAGCCAAAAGTGCTGAAGTTACTTTGTTATGATCATCTACTGTGATGTCAAAATAAGTGATTTTTGGAATTGCTTAAGTCATTCTGGAAAGTCACTTAACTGCTTGCCCCTGGGCTTTTCAAATGAGATGACGAGCTGTCCTGAGCAGACCAAGCTAAGTGGGAGCCCTTCCCCTCTGCAAACACTTATGGGTCTGTATATACATAGATTGGTCTCGTCTACTGCTCCGCAGCAGGTTTTTTTCCATCTTGGAGCCTTCACTGACACGTTTGTCCTGCCTAGGAGATCATTCTCGTTTTGGATCGCTCTGGGGAGTTATTCTTACCTCGGCAGAGACGTGTGCTACATCCACCCCATCAAAGGGAGAGAATTTAACTTTCCCATCTGCCTGTGGCTGAGTGGCACCTCTCTCAGCTGTCCTCAAGCCTGGAGATTACTTTTCACTTACAAGTGAGCGCTCAGTCGATAACTTTTCCATGGATAAATGCTCACTAACATTCCTACTAGTTGCGCTGAGGAAATAAATACATGAGGGATTTCAGATTTTTTTCTCACGGAGCCAAATCCCCCAATTTCATTGCGGGAATGTGGAGCCCTTCTTTTTCTTCTTTCTGTTCCTGGCCATTTTCAGTTATCTGCTGGTTTGTTATTTTTTTAAAGGGTATTCAGGTAAGTGAAAAGCAAGGATTTACAGAAGCACCAGGATTCATGAAGACACAGGATAAAATGATTCACTGCTGCTGTGACTAATGGAATATAAATAATGACAGCAAACAACAGAAATAGCCAAGGTGCTGCTTATAGTGCTGTCTCCAGCATGAGTTAGCGATCGGAACCGTCTTCTCCTTCTGGGGGCAATATCTGACCATGATAAATATCTTAACTAGCCTCTCTCTTCCCGCTCCCTCCCAACAGTAATTCCATTAGGTATCTATCTGTATCCCTCACATCAAAGTTTAATTCCATTACCCCCTCTCATCTTGCATATTAGGTACTAACAGTATTCAGCAAGTGGCTCCAGGCATCAGTGCTTCAGCTAATGTCCACATTTTTCTTATTTTTTTTGTTTTGTTTGCTCTTACATTGTCTGATCCTTCCCTTCAGCATGTCCCTCTTCTTATTAGACATAGAAAATGTTCTGGCAAGGTTTTAGCAAAATATGTAAGCAAAAGTAAGCCCTCACTACCTCAGGTTCATAAGCGCTTCTCAGGACAGAGATAGCTGGATGTGGTGTGAATTCCACTTCCAAAAGATGCTATGGATGTCCAGGTCTGGAACAAGGGTTGCTCCACATCTGTTATTCTGACTTGCTCTATGTTTCCAAGAGGAGTACTTGTACAAAAACTTGGTATGAAACTGAGTACTTCTTTCCTGGAGCATAAGTGCAATTATTTTTTAAATCTATCCATCCTGTGAAGTAAAGTACAGCTTTGAGTGCTGTCAGGAGTTTCTTGTTCTGGCCTTCCACTAGACTTGCTTGGTTTCCCACACTCTGGAATGGACTGTTCTTATGCTCTGATATTTGTGGAAGGTTTCCAATGCTAGCAATAAGTGTGCTGATGCTCCCATCTATGCCCTCATTTACACGTTTTTCACTTCCTCTGGAAGTTGAACTGTTCGCTCCATTACCCAGATTTCAACTTGTGCTTTACCAAATCTTTAATATTCAACAGTACTTGTCTATGGAGTAAGCACTGAGAACTCTACAGACACAACTACTTCCAGTAAGAAAGTTGAAGGATGTTTTTGAAGGGTGAAATTTATGTGGAGGTCACATTTATACAGAGATTAATGAAAACAGATGATGCGTATCTAGGGACATCTGTATATACCTGACTTTACATCACATTATGCTGGCTCTCCAGCTGTTGAGAAACAGCTGTTGGGATCCCCCAGTCACTCCAGAAATACAGATGGACTCTGCCCCTTTATAGCTTGATGGCATTAGGGTACAGCTCTTCCACTCCTCAGTCAGCCCTTTTTGTCTTTCTTGTGTTCTGATTTAAACTTGGTTTCTCCCTCTTTCCATTCAGTATCCCAGTTCCTTTGCCCAGTCACTTACCTTTCTCCCCTTACAAGAATTGTTTCTCCTTTTCTGCTTTTCTTTTTGGATCCCTGCATCTTTTCTTCTGTTTAGACCTATCTGTCACCCTTTACCTCTTCTTGCCCCTAACAGTAGAGACCGGCAGTCTCTCTCCCCCACTGGCTCTTTGCCACCCACCACCCCCAAGTTGGTCCCAGCCACTCCTCCTCCTCCTCCTTTTCCCCCTCCAGCCCTAAACCCCAGCTCTTTGTTCAACCACTTCTTGGCTCCAGTCCCAGTTTGAGATCTTCCCCTATTGCCCCAAGCTCGGTTTCTTCCCTCCCAGTTTCCCAGGCCCTGCTCTTGTCTGGTCTGTGTTCAGACGGGATGGCCTGTGAGCTGTGCAGTTGCCGATCAGCGGTACGATGTAGAGCACGCACCTTCATGGTAGTATCTGCTTTACAGATTTAGCACTTTTTAACAGCTAAATGTCCAGTGTCTCTACCAAACACAGGCCATATGGGATTTTTCCAGGGGCTTATGACTTGACCGCATCTGGGTGGTTTTTCAAGGGAGATGCGTTTTTGATTAAAAGGCCAAACCGCACGGCGCTGCTCCATCCTCCACCTTCCAAAGACAACACACCAGTGCTGAAGGAGCTGAATGGCCAGACCTTTGATGTTTACTCATTTCCTTGGTTTTGCACTGGCAAACTCCATTTTTCCTTCACGGGTTTTCACAAATGTGCTGAACAAGTTTTGGTTGAAAAAACAAAATCAGGTTCGTGGCTGACATCCAGAATCTAAAATTTCATCCAAAAAATCATGTTCTGGCAAGTTCTAAGCAACTGAACAGGGATCTTATATAACAAGGCAAACTCTGTAATACACAATCTATCATCTCTAAAATATTGTCAGCCTTTGGAAAGGGAGCATTTATGACTGAATAAAGTGAGTTTACGACTCTGAATAAAGAGGTGGTTACTTCATTAATTCCACGGATGTTTTAAGTGTGGAAGTATCCTTCGGGTACCTACCAAAGTGCCCGTTTCGCTGCAGACTGGAAGACTGCAGTATCTACAGATGCTTTGAAACTACAGAGGAATAAAGTCAGCTGTGGGGACTTACTGTGTGGGGCAGCGCCCTTGGTGGGGTAGGGTCCCCACTGCCCACCCTGCAGGCGGCCCAAGCCCCCCCGCACCTCGTCTTCACCGTGCAGCACCTGGAGGAGGTCACCCTGGGGGGGCTGCAGCTTCTCTGTCCTGTGGGGCTGACGGTCGGATATGGCTACCACCTACAGGAAAGAGGCAAAACCATCCTGTTACACCTGGCCTTGGAGATAAGGTGGTCTGTCAAGGTCATGGGATGGGAGGGGCGGGGAGCAGCATGGAGCTTGCTTTTCCTACTGCGTTGCTGTCATCCGAAGGGGATTTTGTTGGGTGGGGACTGTGGGATTTGAGGGGTTTGTTTTGTTTGGGTCCCGATTCCATGCATGAGACGTATGGGAAAATCAAGTGTGGTCTGTCTGGGACCCAGCTACGTAGTTGCACCTTTGTGTATTCTCCTCAGCAGACTGAGATGCGGTCCTTTTCAAGATCTACTGGATAGGACAAGCCTTTGAGACAGCGTGCTGGTTTTAGTCATGACAGAGTTAATTTCTTCACAGCAGCTACGTTTGGGATTTGCCCTCAGCAGAGTACTGATAACACTGGCGTTTTTCGTTGGTGCTAAGGAGTGCTTGCACCAAGTCAAGGTCTTTTTCAGCTTCTGATGCTACACCTGTGTTCCCAGCTTCTTTGCTACAAGCAGCAGGGAGGGAAAACAGTCCAGACAGCTATCCCAAACTTACAAAAGGCGTATTTCATTCCATTGAACGTCATGCTCAGTATGTAAGTTGGAGGTGGGCCGGGGATCATTGTTGTTTCTTAGTTAGTTGGTGGGTGGGTTGGCTTTCTCAGTCACTCTCTCGCTCATGGGGCTCTCTCGGATGCTGCTGCTATCGCTCTCGGACTCTGGCTCTCGGGCTGTCTGACTCTTGCTACTCAGGTCCATGGGACCTGATGAAATATATCCCTGGGTCCTGAGGGAACTGGCAGGTGAAGTTGCTAAAACTCTATCTATTATATTTGAGAAGTCGTGGCAGTCTGGTGAACTACCCACTGATTGAAAAAGGGGAAACATAACCCATATCTTTAAAAAGGGAAGAAAGGAAGATCCAGGGAACTACAGGCCAGTCAGTGTCACCTCTATGCCTGGCAGGATAATGGAGCAGATCCTCCTGGAAACGATACTAAGGCATATGGAAAACAAGGAGGTGATTTGTGACAGCCAACATGGCTTCACCAGGGGCAGATCATGCCTGACAAATTTGGTGGCTTTCTATGATGAGGTCATGACCTTGGTGGATAAAGGAAGGGAAACCAATGGTGCAAAGCCTTTGACACCATCCCAGATGACATCCTTGTCTCTAAACTGGAGAGGCATGGATTTGATTGATGGACCACTCAGTGGATAAGGAACTGGCTTGATGGTCCCACTCATCAAGCGAGAGCTGATGAGAGCTGAGAGTTGTGGTCAATGGTTCGATGTCTGAGTAGAGACATGGATGGCAGGATTGAGTGCA